TCTATAAGACGCCCCCATGTATAGGACGCCCCCCACTTTTGTTACCCAAAATTCAGAAATCAATATTTTCCATGCTCTTTTGCATAACTGATTACATCCAGTTTACATTTTGCAGAGTAAGACAGCCGCTTCCTGGTGTTGGTATTTACCGGGATTTTTGTTTGTTTTCTGACATTTTATGGGCTCAGAATGCTCCGACATTACCGCTCCCTGTTACATCCGGGCACTGGCTACAGGCTCTCTGCAGCATCAGCTGATGTCGGGTACATAAGGCTCATGATTGGAGGAAACCTGTTAGCTTGTCTCTGCAATCAGAAGTTTCACTCGTGAGGCTAGTTTGCAGAGGTATCGGTAGTTTCGCAACCGCGGTTCTCCTCTCAGCCCCCTGTGTATAAGACGCACCTCCATTTTTAGGTAAATATTTTTATGAAAAAGTATAGTCTTATACACGGAAAAATGCAGTAATATAATTCACTCTGCTCAACATAAACAAGCTTCTCACTGTGCTCCTGGTAAGGATTATGTCCTCTTCTCACATGATTCTGTGCCATGCCACTCTTGAGCAGTAGGTTACAAGAGCAGGAACCAGGAAAGATAACATCCTGAATCTTCACAAGCTCATATGTTAAAAGTGAAAAACCCAGCAAGTCTGGGAATGAATTAATGAAACACACCCCCCTTCCCTCCTCTTTCTAAGGGCATTACTGAATGATAATATTACATTGCTTCACAAGTATTATATAATATAACTTAGAATTGTGTATAGACTCTTCTGACATTCAGGAAGATCATCTAAATTAGTACACAAGGAGATGACCCATGCATCATGGCCTGAAGCAAAGCATGAAAAGCTGGGTGGAAACAATGTGCTCTATCAGGGGAACTAATATAACCTGGCTGTAGTTGCTTAATTTACCCTTGCAATGTCCATGTGGTCTCTGGAATTCTGCTCCCCGAGAAGCATTTGTGCTGCCGATTGCATCACTTATCTCACACTTTCTTTTTTTCTATTTTTAGAAAAATCCTGGACCCGGAACATATGATCCAACTAGACAGCTACCGAAACAACCACCTACACTTGCCAAAATGGGTCGCTTGCATGGCCTCTTCTTTCGTAATTCATTTGACTTTTGAATTGTGAATCACAGAAGATAATTAGGGTTCTGCTTCTGTCTGTAAAATGGATTCCCTTTCTGAAAGACGATGGTACTATGAATACACCAGTCATCAGTGTGAGTGCAGCTATTATGTAAAGCCTAATGCATGCTTATTCAGTAAGTCAAAGAACAATAGCAGTAACCCAGAAATACAGTCAGCAAGTAGAGATGAGTAGATCAGCTTGCAAATATGGACACTTTGCTCTGACCCGGCTTTGCTGGGAAGCAGTAATTCATTTTACTGATGGGACCGCCCATAGGTGAATTACACGACTTACACGGCTTTAGGCCAGGGCCCCCCCGCCCGGTCATAGTTGCCCCCCCCAGCACCGCCGCCATGCTGAGCCAGTAAGGAGCTTACACTCGAATGTCCCCCCCACAGGCACATTAGCTGCTGGCTGCAGGGCTTCGTTGCCTGCTGGACACTAGACATGTGCACCGGCAAAAAAAACGTTTAGTTTCATCTTGTTTTGATTCGCATTTTTTGTTTTTCGGGATTCGGACTAAATTCGTTAGCGGTAGTCTGTACGAATGTTCATTTCTGTTTCATGTTGGTAGCGTTCGTTTCATTGCAGCAAAGTGACATTAATTTTTTTTTTTTAATTGTCACTTTGCTGCAATGAAAATTCATCCACAGACGAAAATGCGTACAGACTACCGCTAACGAATTTCGTCCGGAAAACGAATGTTTCCGAAACGAATCGCACATGTCTACTGGACGCAGGGCTTAGGGTTAGTTCACACCATAAGCAGTGCGTTCTGGTCCGATTCACTTTGCGGCTGGCTCACTTTTTGGCCAGGCTGGAGGGGGCAGAGTGGGCCATTGAAGTAAATGGTGCCGTAGCCACGCCCTCCGGCTGCAATGCGATCGCCCGCATGGGGTCGCAAGGCACATTGTGCCTGCAGTGTGTTCGGGTGCAGTGCGATCAAAATAGTGCTTGCAGCACCGCACCCAAACGCACTGCAGGCACAATGTGCCTTGCGATCCCGTGCGGGCGATCGCATTGAAAAAAAATCAAACACACACAATAAAAACACACACACACAACTAATAACAATTGTTAATTAAAAAATGTCCCCCTCTCCTGCTTACCTGTTTTGCAGGAAGGGGGGCTGCATTCCTGGGGTCCAGTGTGGCACTTGGATTATCCTAATGGTCGAGTGGAGGATCAGTGTTATCTGCATCTCCCCTCACGTGGCCCGGGCCCCTTACTTGAATATCGGCCGTACCCCCCTGACGGCGGCCCTGAAAGTAGATGTAAACTAATAATTAAAATCTCATAATCTTTAGGCACGTACAGCTCCGTACTGCGTGTGATTAGTACACAGCCCCTATCCTTCTCATTGGGAGTACACGGCCATACGCCGCACTACGCTCACCCGCCCTGCACGTCTGTGCGGGTGTCCGTACTCGTACGCTGACAGGATGGATCCTGTCTGCGTCCAAGCCGGGACACCCGCACCCGTACAGACCTGCACTTGGGGTGAGCATAGGGCCATATGGCCGCGTACTCCCATAGAGAAGACGGGCTGCGTACTAATCACACACAGCACCTGTCCTTCCCGGGAGCTGCCCGATACGGCCGTGCACGCAGCACGGAGCTGTACGTGTCAGCCTTTTCTCGTGTGAATGAGGCCTTAACATGCTACTGTTTCAACTGTTTTAAATCTTTCATTGAAATAATACCTGGTGATCCAGTCATAAATGTCCTTGTTAAGCACTTCCTGTTATAGGATGACAACACTCTGTCCCTGACTCGCAGTTGTGCTCCTTCACTATAACCCTATCACACGTGCTTATGCTGGAGACTATGTATAAGCAACCATGCCAACACTCATTGCACAGCCTCTGCAGCATTTGGAGCAAGTTCTTGTAGATAGGAAGAAAAAAAGGCAAAAAAGGCTGATATAAAGGGGAAAACAGTACTATATAAAAGAAAAGAACATGGCAATTGTTTGATACAAAGTGCTTTTGCAAACAAAATGTTATACAGTTGGGGTTTACATCTACTTCAAGATCACTGTGAGTTTTGGAGTTAGAATGCCAACCCCGCGATGGGAGTCAAATATTAGCAAATTATGGGATCCAGTCTTTTGAATCAACATTGCAGCAGATTTTTCCCATTATTTGCTTATCTCTAATTGCAGCCAATCACAATATTTATTTTCCTGGCTGCAGTATCCCAAAACCTGATTGGTTGATCCCACTGTCCTTGATTACTGTCATGGTGTTACACTGCTTTACTGTATAAGTATGGTTGAGTCCCCTGAATTACTGTGATTAGGACTAATGTGCTTAGTCCTTATGGCAGGTCTTAGCAGGTGCTGCAAAGCTTCTTAAGGTTATCATACACAATTTGATATTTACAGAGTCCACTGCTTAAAAAATGTAGACCAGAATAGGCTTTGCCTATCATGCTTTTTCAAGGGTCTGAAATGTTTATTTACTGTACACACATTAAAAATCTCTTTCATTATCCAGCAATTGTGCCTGGCAGTCCCTTTACTGTGTACATTTCAAAACATAATATCAACTGAGGCAAGAAGAAAGGTCTCAGCATGTGGTGGTGAACAGAATGAGCACAGGTAGATCTTTTATCATCTGCTTCTCAGTAATGCTGGTCACATGCACAGATTTTTTTTATTCTACTTGAAAAGAATTTCCAATTGTATA